TACTAGGTGTGGCGTGGAGGGTTTTCTCTGAGTTTCTGCTTTTGTGCACAAAGCCTCGGTCAGTACGTCTGTGGGTGTTCGCGTCTGTGTCCATGTTGTGTTTATCATTTGAAAGAACTGGCTTCACCAGGAAACAGATGACTCACACAGTTTGAGGTTGAATTGTGTCACGAGCGTCACCGCTTTCACTCCTATGCTCTAATGCGTTCTGTACGTCACTGATGCAGCGGGTCTGCTTATCCCTGAGATTGGACAGATAAGGCCTTAGCCCTTGTTCCACCTGCTCCGATAAGAGCCAAGCATAAAGAAAGATGGGCGGAGCTTAACGCTGTTGATAGCATCTTTGCCACATAGGAATGTGTAGGAGACACTGGAAGACAGCATAGTAAAAAACACAAAGTATCCCAAAAGGGCAAAACGCAAGTCTAAAGTCCAGGATGCTACGGCACTGCATACACAAATACATTCATTCACACAGCATACTGCTCTCCTCCTCTCTCTCGCTCTCTCCATTCTTCCTTAATACTGCTCATTCTCACACAGACACATACATAAAAATGTGCACATGCATACCAGCCCCCAACCTGCATCCACCATCTGGTCTTCCCAAGGCTCAGATGTCTCTGGGGTAAGGTGAACTGTGAGGGGACTCAGTGTGTGTTCATGTTGTGTGCGCATGTGTGGTACAGAGCGAGTGAGGAGCCGGTGATCGTGACATCAAAGAGAAAGTACACTCTCTACTGCAACATGTGAAAAGCCATATTGATAACTTACTAAAAAATCTGCACAAACCACAGATTCTTATCACATTGCCCTCTTGTGAGTACAGTACTTTCAGAACAACACATTCACAGCACTGCAGGTGCATGAGCTGCAGGCACGGCTTTGCACTGGGGGTCATCATAGCTGACTAGGCTGCATAAGCACACCTTAACACCCAGTAGTCTTTTCACTGTGGGCAAAATAAAGCCTCCATTATGGGATGAGGCCATGTCTGCTGCCCCTGCCAGCCATAATGGCTTCAGCACTCTACTGACGACACAGAAACTCAAATGTACCATACACACAGTGGTCCAGTATAACAAGAGTGTAAAATTGAATTCTACTTCAGGTGGTCCCAGGTCAGCAGTAGTGCCTGGAGCCAAAATACACTTGTACACTTATGATGTGAGCATTCACATGCACAATCCTTCATGCTTTTGCAGCCCTACTGCCGCAACCCACGGGCCTATGATGCACTCATATTTTCATTTTTCTCATTTCTAACCGCTTGAAATGAGAGAGCAGAGGAAAGGAGCAATTTTGCATTCACAACCATTAGAAACTCAACAGGACTCTTTTCACTGGCTGTCTCCTCTGCACAGCTGGTGAGCTCGCATGCACACCCAACACACACACACACAACAAGAGTCACAGAATTCTTACCTCCATACCACACTAGCAGTGCCACTCTACATCATTACAAACTCTGTTTTTGGTGCAAGATTTAAGGCTGGGGAAACAACTGGGAATCATCTGAGCCTGAACAGACAGGTCAGCCCAACATGAGAGTCTGTAGTGTGTTAGTCACCACTTTCAAAGCTTGACAATATCATAAGCAGTTATTTATACTAGGCATCAAATATACAAAACAAAGCTTTCTTTTGCAGCTCCATGGCTTATTTTTGTATCAGACGGATTTCAGAAAATAGTTTAGGTGAAATAAACTTTGTTTTTCTAGTTTAAAGATGTAAAGGATTCACCAGTGACAGCCCAGTGAGTGGTCTGTTTATTCAGTCAGGTGCATGAATGGTTCATGTTAATGTCTGAGTGAAACAGAGAGCTGCTGATCTACAGGCCTGTACAACAGACAGCGTTGCCAAAGTGGTGAGTTAGCTTTGTAAGTCTACTTCTGCACTCAAAGTTTGTTTTAACACAATTCCTGCAGCATCTCATCAGAAAAAGAACTTCATCAAAAACAACAATATCATTCTCAAGAGGCAGATGTTGACTTCTCTCCGCAGAGCGGTCAGAACAGTGGGTCAGCTACCAAACAGTACCCCTAGAGCTGAGTCAGAGGCTTATCAAGGATAACTCTGCAGAGCAGCTGCTAGCTGAGATGAGACCTAGAACCTGTCCTCCAACCTTTCTAATCAATATGCCACCAACATCATGTGTTTCTGCTTAAGTTATTATTGTTTATTTGGGAAGCTAAAACATCCTCCATTCCTTCCTCTCGGCCTCCGAGGTTGAGGCATTACCAGGTGTTTAACCAAGCATCCTTAGGGACTGATTACAGCACATTACTGAGGATCTCTTATCACACTCATACCGAATGCGGCTGCTGTTTTATCCCCAGTGTAGCACAGCTCAGGTGTCTACTGTACATTAGATAACTGAGACAGCCCAGTGTTCATTTACTTCCACAGCCTTATTCAGTTGAAGCCTTCATCGTTTCTAAAATGTTACTGTATCTTTTCTGAAACTCACTGACTTCCTCCTCATTCCTCTCTCATCTTTTTATCTCCCTTAGTCCCCATCTGTCTTACAACCGCTGTTTCATCCCCCTTTCCTCCGTTCCTCCTCCCTCCACCACCAGGCCGTTAAATGAGCAGGCTTATCTAAGCCTAATTGGTTTAAGGGAAAACAGAAATAAGCAGCGGCTCTGTAAGTAGGGGAGAATTACTGCAGCTGTTGGCAAGAACCATCGGCACACCACGGAGAGAGTGAGCACAAGAAGAGAGAAAGGAGACAAGAGGGGGGAACGGGGAGATTAGTGGAGAGAATTATGACAGAGTGGAATTGAGAAATGATGGAGAATTAAAGGGAGGTGTAACACAGAGCAGGTAGAGAGGAGGTGAAGATGATGGGAAGAAAGTGAGAGAAAAGACAAATGAGGGTGAAAGAGAGCACTGCACGTGCATTTTTTTCGAATGGCATTAATCCCTGTCTTCACTCTGTTAGATCTTTGCTTTGGTTCCGACTGCCCTTCTTCAGTAACTTGCTATTGCAAAGCAATTGTTTGTTGTTTTCCGTGTGTGTGTGCCAGGAAGCTGCGCCTTGAGTTTGACTTCAACAAATTCAAAGTTCTATAATCAACTTTGGCACCTGATGAAACCGTTTTGGTCCATGATCGCACCTCGCTGAAACACACTAACACTCCTGCAGACCCGAGCATCAACTCTCATTTTTCTGTGACAGTCAGCCGTCTACCCATCTATCCATCCGTACCTAAGAGCATTTCTTCCTTATGATTTTCATCCCACACTTCATCAGTTCATCAATGATGTGTGGGGTGTTTTTGCTGTGAATGTATGTAGGGAGGTCAAATAAATCACTTAGCCCATCAGAACTGTGTCCATATGGTCAGGGACGCTCCTCAGTCTAAAGTTACAAACACACACATGGATGCACACAGATGTCTGACACTTTGTGATTATTGGATGATCTGAACTTGTAATCAGATTAAGGGTGACAGGGCGACGTGGTCAGTGGCTCTACACGCTCTGCCCCCC